ACGTGGAGCGTGTGTTACACCAGGAGCGAAATACAAGGAGCCGTTCGGAAGATAATGACTCAAGATTCTAGGATATTTGTTGGGAAATAAACAAGAAGATATCGAGAGGATCTTTACTTATCACAATAGAATACGCAAGTATATATTGGTGATTGAGTTCATTAGCTAGGTTACGGCTTTGGGGATTTTAGATTGCTATCGAGCTTAAGTGTTCAAAGCTGCGATTCTAAGTGAGCAAGTGGTGAGGTCTGTCTCGACCACTGTGCATTTGGGTAGATTAAGAATTGGTCCGTCTCAAGTCAAGTTTGTGACGTTGAGTAAATCGGATTAAACAGATCTTGTAGGATTGTTTAAGTGATTCTTAATAAATCAAGTTTGTTTTCTTGGATTTGGTCAAGTGACTCTTTTGTGGTATCCATACGAGATTTCANTGAGCAAGTGGTGAGGTCTGTCTCGACCACTGTGCATTTGGGTAGATTAAGAATTGGTCCGTCTCAAGTCAAGTTTGTGACGTTGAGTAAATCGGATTAAACAGATCTTGTAGGATTGTTTAAGTGATTCTTAATAAATCAAGTTTGTTTTCTTGGATTTGGTCAAGTGACTCTTTTGTGGTATCCATACGAGATTTCAAAAACATCACAAAACATTATTACGAAATCATATCAGTGATTAGTTCTAAGTGATTGTCGTATTTGTTTTATAAAATATATTTCAAAATATAGTAAATGAAACTGTGAAAAACAAAATTTTAAGCTATGAGTGATCGTAGAGAATATTTGTATTTTCGACAGTTTATAAATTACGTCGCGGGACTGAACCACACTGCCTACGGACTAAGGTTAATCAAAAATCAAGTGCGTAATCCGGATCCACTTCTATGGGTGCCAGGATATCCCTGTATAATTTTTTTTTTAAAATGGATAACTTAACATAACATATACATCCATATATATCCGGGTCTCTAAAGTCTAAAGACTCTAAACTCTTCTTTTCCTTGTCGATTCTATTATGTGTGTTTAAAGACTTTTTGAAAAAAAAAACGTTTTAGATTTCATGATGGGCTTTAGATCACTTGTAAACATATTAAGCCCATTATTGGGCATTAGTTACATGGTAGCTGGGTGGGTATATTAAAAAGAACCAAATGTTTAGCCCAAACCGGAAAGATTCCATAAATAAACAAACCAAAGATTCGTCGTCTTCTTCAACTTGTTCTTCGTTTCGTTTTCCTTTCTCACCTTTTAAGTTCCTCACTTCTTGGCTCTACACTCATGCCACAATCCAAATCAATCACGTAATCAAAATCCTCCCCTTCTTCCACTCCCGAAATCTCACAATCCCTAAATCTCTCCCTCTTTGATGGACATTCTTCGATCTATGGAGTTTACACTTCCAATTTCACCACACAGAAGAAAAAAATGGCTAATCATACTATCCCTCCTCGGAGTCTCAACCTACGGAGCCTACAAAGTTTACAATTCCCCATACATCGCCAGAAAGAGGAAGCGTCTCACAAACCTCTTCGAAGCAATCGCTTCCTTCGCCGAACTAATCACCGACTCAGCAGAAACCATAACCCTCGTCTCCCGAGACGTAAAGCAGTTTCTCCAATCAGACTCCGACGAAATCCCAAACAGCTTAAAACAGATAGCGAAAATCACCAAATCGAAAGAATTCACCGATTCAATTTCTAGGGTTTCCGAGGCCGTAACCGTCGGTGTTCTCCGTGGATATAGTTTCAATAACGTCGAAGTAGAAGTAGAATCAAATTCAAGTGTAGTTGATAGAGTTTTATTCTCAGAGGCGGGAACTGGTTTTGTATCAGTTATTGTAGGTACCTTCGCCAAGAACCTCGTTCTTGGATTCCACGAGGTTGAAGCTAGTATCGAAACCACAACGAAACCGAAACCTAGATGGATGAGTTTGCTCTGCGACGATGAGAGTTGCAGAGAGCTCTTAGCTGATTGCATTGAGAGGTTCACCACCTCTGCAGTATCAATCTACATCGAGAAAACGGCTAGGATCAACACATACGATCAGATATTCTCTGGTTTGACGAATCCGAAGCACCGAGACAGCGCGAGAGACGTTCTTGTCTCCGTCTGTAACGGAGCTCTCGAGACGTTCATGAGAACGTCTCGGGAGGTATTCACGACTTCAAACGCTGAAGAAGATGGAGAAACTTTTAGGGTTGGGAATGGATGGGGGGAGGTGCTTACGAGTACGTTGGCGGTTCAGAATAATAGGAAGTTTATGTTTGATGTTACGGGGAGAGTGACGTTGGAGACGATGAGGTCGATACTTGAGTTTGTGGTTTTGAAGACGTCTCAGAGCTTTAGGAGGAGTTTGAGTGCGGTTCATGGAGAGGTTATGGATAGAGGACGGCAAGTGGTTGGGTATGTTGGTGCTAAATCTTCTGTGATTATCACTCTTTGCCTTGCGGTTTACTTTCATGTTGTTAACCGGTTTGTTGGGGGTTCTCCGGTTAGTTTAAACCAGCATTTCTAGTCGATCTTTTAGCGTCTTTAGAGTATGTTAGGGATATGAGATCTTCAGCTTCCACATTGAATGTAGATTTTTTTGTGTTGTCAGATTGAATCTAATTGATAAAGAAAGTTCTTGAGATGATATTTGCATCTGTATGTAAATGTAAGAGTACCAAAGCAAAGGCGAAAAAATCATATGAGAGTGTTTGATGTTTGAGTCGAAATTAATATTATTTGTGATTTTGGAGTAAAACATGGCTCATGGGAAGAAATACTGATATCATACAACAACATTTTGGATTGATTTTCAGTTTCATACATTAGAGATTATATGTTTCCAAGGTTACAGCCAAACAGTTAATTACACTCTATATGGTAGAAAACTGACACTATTTGTATACTGTCAGTTTTGCTTTTAGTTTTCAGTGATATATTTTTTTTTAACAAATATCTTGCTATAGTATCTTACTTATCTCAGAAAAGGGCCTGCACAAGTTGTCTTTTGAATCATCACATCCCAGAGTTCACCTAAGTTCTACTCATAATTCTTTATAGATCACTCTTGTCTGAAAGAGTCAGAAGACACAGAGCTCAAATGCATTATATCTACAACACTTGCTGATTCTAGTAAACATGGCTCTAGAGAAGAAATGCAGATGTGAGTCGTATGATACAGCAACAAATTGTGGAAACGTTTGAAGCTTTATTAGAATTGTTTCAACTGAACCAATTAACTCAAAGATCAACAAATTTTCATGCTTCACGGTTTGGTAATAACAACTAACCAGTACCAGTCCACTTGCCCAGATGATCATATGCCCATTTCAAGGCTGCTCCTGCGGCTTGTGGTCTTCATGGCACTTATCTGTGGACTGTGGTGGTCTCATTGAAAAAGATAGGATTAAGAGTGTACCATGACTTGCAAGAATGTTAAAAAAGTCTGTTATCACAATGACAAAAGAAGCATAACTGAAATCCTTAGTGTGTTGGCCAGAAATTACAACGCACCAACAAAAGCTTTTCTTCTCTGCTAACAAATGCAAAAAAAAGGGAGCCTGTCAGACAACCGTGTGACCACCCCGGAGAGGAGAAGACCTAACCGGATAGCGATCCTCTACAGCGCAGAGAATCCGAAGAAGCTCGTAGCCGTTAATCACACTCAAGTCACACGGGTATGATTCATCAACCAGGGTTCAGGGGCTGTCTCCTTAGAGATCAAGGATAAAGAGGTACTTCCTATAGAACAGATCCTGTTCAAGTAAGGTCGTGACCTGAACTTTCATCTACAGCGCTATATAAACAACACAGCTTCTCTCTGGGTAACCGATGTGGGGTGTAATAAACAACGTCTTAATGCTTAGTACGTCATTTGGGTCTCCCTAAATGAACTATAATAACGAATACGCCGTCGTTTTCTACCCTTCAATGAACTAATTAAGGAATCCACTAATTAAACTAAATTACAGTTGGCAGGTGAAGCTACTAAAACAGAGGTTTCATGAGAAGTTTCCGGTCTATTTGTATTTGGCTCCACTTTATAATATCTTCTCAAGCTGTTTCCTCGGCGGCCAAGTTCTTGTCCCAGAAGTTCATCGTTTTGTAATGCAAGTAGAAATAAGTAATCTGATTGGGAAACAAGCGGCTTAACTGATGAGCACAAGAAAGTCGTGGAAATTATTATGAGACTATACAGAGAGAAGAGAAACTACTGCTGTTACCAATAAAAAAGCCAAAGAAATTACTTTGGTTCTTGTCAAGCCAAGGAACTACAAGACCATCTAGAAACTCTTCTTGAAAATTGGTCATTACAGATTTGTATTGTCATCGGCTCATCGCTAAGGTAAAAATAGCTGTTATTTTGATCTTTTAACTATGTTTGTTGTTGTACTAAAAGAACAGACTCAACTATCAAATGAAGTAACACATCATTTGTCTTAACATTCACATGAAGTACTTGTGCACAAACGGTTTTGATCAAACTGGCAGACAGAATTAGCAGAAAGTAACGATCTAGATCACCCTTGTCAGAATGAGTTCGAGCTTCAGAAGATGCAGAGCTCAAGTACATATGTGAAAATGTTTATTATACTTAAAACAGATTTTAGGAACGCCTCAACAAGAGTGATCATGCTGTTCATGATGACAACTGCGTTTCCCTTTGAAGCTTCTCTATGAAAACCTCCCTTGTTGTCATGATTCTTGTCTATTGGCCATGTGAACAACCTCCAATACTATTCCTCGTTCAGACACGAAATCTCGCCAGTGGCCACCCATCTTGTCGGATTTTTTTTAGTCCACAAAAGGCTCTTCTGTGTTACACATTTTAGTAAATTCTTGAACACACGAATAGCAATAACCTTTTATCCGAAAGTAACATGTTGTAGCCGTTGCTGTTGCTGTTATTGGTTTGAATTGGGAGGAAACAAGTAGTGTGCAACATCATGTCTGAACAAGGATGTTTTGGAAAGTTTCCTGCCTATAAGCTCATATCTAGCTAACTATGGATAAAATATATGATATAAGACCAAGAGTACCAGGATCTCAAGAAAGACCCAGTGTTGACAAAAAAAAAAAAAAAAGACCCAGTGTCTTTATCACAATGGCAAACTGCTATACATCATTAGAACCCAATGAATTCCACATAATCTTGATCAGTTCTAGCATTTCCTAAACCAAGCTAACTCCTTACAGTATCTCACAACCACAGTTTTCTTTTTATAAGCAAGACACATTTTGGCTACTCAAGGTCTATAAACCAAACACCTCCTAATGTGTCAGATCACAGAGTTCTCTGACGCTAGCAATTTACATCACTCTAAGTGAAGACTTAAAAGTTAGAAGGATATATATATATATATATTCTTTTTTTTTTTTTTGAAACAAAGTTAGAAGGATATATAGAACTCGAAAACAATAAAGAATCCCTGATTCTATCATTCATAAACTGGTCCTTAAACTTCTCTATCTCCCTAACAAAACCCATTAGTGCTTCAAGTAACAACAATGAAGTTCAGAGAGGGGAAAAAAGGTTAAGCTTTGGAAGAAGTACACGGCTTTGGTGTGCACCGGCAAGAGTTGAAAGAAAAGAAAAAGAAAGCCTGTCAGACAACCGTGTGACCACTCCGGAAAGAACAAGACCTAACCGGATAGCGATCCTCTACAGCGGCGGCGCCTCCAAAGAGACCCGTAGCCGTTAATCACACTCAAGTCACACGGCCATGATTCATCAACCAGGTTTAGGGGCCTGTCTCCTTAGAAATCAAGGATACAGAGGTACGAGCCTATAGAACAGATCCTGTTCAAGTAAGGTCGTGACCTTCACCTTCATCTCAGTGCTATATAAACTACACAGCTTCTCTCTGCGTAACCGATGTGGGATGGAGAAAACACCGTCTTTACTTAATACAGCCTCGTTTCCACAATACGTCGCCGTTTCTCCCCTCAAGGAACACTAACAGTCTAATACCAAAAAATACGGGACCGTCTAATGCGAAAAGCTCTTGAGCTGTCTGATCATTACCCAAGATGCAGACCCAGACTTTGGTTCTTGTCAAGCCAAAGAAACTACTGGACCGTCTAGAAATCTTTCTTGTAAATGAACAGTGGTCATTACAGATTTGTTTCGTCATTGCAAGCTAACATGACTGACTAAACTATATCATAGTTTTCTCTTCTTTTTTTTTTTTTTGGTTTTTTGGTGTAAATGTTAGAATAAATACCATTTTCTGAGTTTTATGTGTTGTTGGAGCACAAAAATATTACAACCTATAACATAGTTTTATCTTCAACATTCACGTCAGGTACTTTGCACCGAAATTTACAGTTGTGATCCGTTGTGTGTGGGATATCAGTACCAAATAGAATGTCTGGCTGCTTCAGTTTTGGAGTGCTTATGGCTATATCAGAAAATGGCCAGATTCATTGTTTACAAGGCGAATCTTATTCAGTCTTTACTGTTTGTTTTCTATGTTTGATCTAATGCAATCCTTTAGCAAAGTTTGTTGTTATGGTCCTGATGCTCTGTTTCGCTGCTTCTTACTTGCATTAGTCTTCTCATTGGTTACGACTATCTTTGTTGTGTGGTCTCTTATATTTCTCTCCAAGTATTTTATGGAAAGGGTATAATATGGGTCATTATTTGTATGAAACTTGTTCTCTAGCTTTCCTTCAGGATAGCATATTAGTACACATAATCAAGTTTGTTATTGATGGCATGGAACATGCAGTCTCCATATTTATGCTCATTTGAGGGAAGGAATTGCTGACCCAAAATCAAACTTGGAAATTTTGGAAGTGATATAGTTCTCTTGGAGGTCAAGGAGGTGTGATACTAAACGGTACACAACCTCAATATGTGATGAGAACTGTAGAGAGCTCTTAGCTGATTGCATAGAGAGATTCACTACCTTTACTGTATCAATCTACATCGAGAAAACAGCTGGGATCAATACGTACGATCAGATATTCTCTGGTTTGACGAATCCGAAACATCGAGACAGCGGTAGAGACGTTCTTGTCTCTGTCTGTAACGGAGCTCTCAATGTAGATTTCTGTGTTGTCCACAGGGATTGATTCTAATTGATAAAGAAAGTTCTTTAGATGATATTTGCATCTATGTCAATACAAAAGTACCAAAGCAAAAGCTTAAAAGATCATATGAGATTTGTTTGAGACAAAAATTAATACTATTATTTGTGATTTTGGAGAACATGGCTCAAGGGAAGAAATACTGATATCGTGCAACAACATTTTGGATTCATTTTGAGGTTTATATATTAGTGATTATGTTTCAACTGAACTCACTAACTCTAAAGAACAATATAATTGTTATGGTTTAAGAGTTTTTCATAGGCCGTGTCAAGGTTCCAGCCAAATAAGTAAATTACACCCTATAGGGTAGGAAACTGAGTGTATTTGTATACTGTCAATTTGCTTTTAGTTTTCAGTGATATGTGTCTTTTAACAATATCTTGCTATCCTCACTTACCTATCTCAGAAAAGGGCTTTTCCAAGTTGTGTTTGAATCATCACATCCCAGAACTCACCTAAGTTCTGCTCATAATTCTTATTCGAGCAGTCTCGTCTGAGAGAGTCTGAGATTCATATGATACACAGAGCTCAAGTGCCTTATATCTACATACAACGCTTACTGATGAGAATCATATGATACAACAATTGTGGAATCGTTTTGAGTCTTATTTTGTTAGAATTATTTTTTTTGTAAGCCCTATATAATCAGATAATTTCGACAGAAGAAACCCAAAATATCAGAGTGAAAAGAAAGAAAACTAATGCAGCAGCACCGCCATAACCCTAACGTCTCGTGCAAGTTTTCCTTTTCATAGTTTTCTTTTGTTTTATTTTTCCTCAAATCTCATTGTCTTAGTTTTCCTTTTTTAGAAAAGGAATGATCTTTAGAAAGTCGGTTGTGACTATGAGAATCAGTCCCTATATATATATAGAGCTTTAGCTTTGGCTTTTAAGATATAGAATTTGGTTAATAAAAACCCTAGAAATCGAGAGAAACAAAACTTGTTATTCTTGGATTGATTGATTCATCTTTGTGTGTGCTGGCATGAACAAACTAAAGTATCTATCTCTTGTCTCCCACATCTGCAACGAGTTGCAGACGCATGTAGCTGTAGCCCCAAAGGAATTAGCAGAGTACATCATCCATCTCGGCCGCAACTCCGAGACAGCCGACGAATTCGATAAGAAGCTGAAGAAGTACGACACAGAGCTTCCTGATTATTTCGTCCGGTCCCTCTTAACTGTAATCCACGGCATCTACCCTCCTCCGCAGCCCAACGATACTAAGGATAAGGTCGACAAGGAGATTGAGAGTGAAGGTCAGGAGAGGCAGAGAGAGGAGGATGGAAGGGATCATATGCATAGAGATAGGAATCGTGGAGATGATAGAAGAGGTGATATATCACGTGGAGGAGGTGATAGGTATAGGGGGAGATCACGTGGTGATCATGACACTGGTGGTGTGGAGGAGCCAGAGTTGAATGAGGTTTACAAAGGTAGAGTGAGTAGGGTGATGGAGTGTGGGTGCTTTGTTGAGTTTGATAGGTTCAAAGGGAAAGAAGGTCTAGTTCATGTTTCTCAGATGGCTAAAGAGAGCTTGGTGAAGCGGGATGTGCAAGTGTATGTCAAAGTTGTATCTATTAAAGGTCGTAAGTATAGTCTTTCTATCAAGGATGTTGATCAGAACACGGGTAGAGACTTGAGGAGTAATCCATCTTTTAGAACAAAGGATGTGCAAGTCAACAAGACTGTTGAGGAGGAGGAGACTCCTTGTCGTAGGCTACTGAAGAAGATGAGCTCCCCTGAGAGATGGGAAGCGAAGCAGATCATTGCTTCTGGTGCTTTGAGAGCGAATGAGTTTCCTGATTACGATGGGATGCTTTATCAAGAGGAGGAAGAGCATGAGATTGAGATTGAGATGAATGAAGAAGAACCTGCTTTCTTGAAAGGGAAGGGCAGGTCCTCTGTAGTTGACATGTCTCCTATTAAGATTTTTAAGAATCCAAAAGGCTCCATGAGTCGTGCTGCTGCACTTCAGTCTGCGCTCACCAAGGAGAGGAGAGAAACGAGGGAACTTGAGCAGAGAACAATGCTTGACTCTATCCCCAAGGATCTGAACCGTCCTTGGGAAGATCCTATGCCTGAAACTGGTGAAAGGCATCTCGCACATGAGCTTAGAGGTGTTGGATTATCTGCTTACAACATGCCTGACTGGAAGAAGGATGCTCTCGGGAAAACTCTTCCGACTTTCGGACAAAGATCAAAGCTCTCTATCAAGGAGCAAAGGGAGAGCCTTCCTATATACAAGCTGAAAAAGGAGCTGATACAGGCTGTGCATGACAATCAAGTGTTGGTGGTCATTGGTGAGACTGGCTCAGGTAAGACCACACAGCTGACTCAGTATCTTGCCGAAGCAGGTCACACTACCAAAGGAAAGATTGGGTGTACGCAGCCTCGCAGGCTCGCAGCAACGTCTGTTGCAAAGAGAGTAGCTGAGGAGTTTGGTTGTCGTTTGGGAGAGGAGGTAGGGTATGCTATTCGGTTTGAGGATTGTACTGGACCAGATACGGTGATCAAGTACATGACTGATGGTATGCTTCTTAGGGAGATTCTGATTGATGAAAACCTCTCTCACTACTCTGTTATAATGCTTGATGAAGCTCATGAGCGCACTATTCACACTGATGTGTTGTTTGGTCTTCTAAAGAAGCTGCTGAAACGAAGGCCTGAACTTCGTCTCATTGTCACATCCGCCACATTAGATGCAGATAAATTCTCTGAATATTTTTTCAGCTGCAACATCTTTACAATCCCTGGAAGAACCTTCCCTGTAGAGATTCTGTATAGCAAACAGCCAGAAAGAGATTACTTGGATGCAGCTCTGACCACAGTTCTTCAGATCCACTTGACAGAGCCAGAGGGTGACATTCTTCTCTTTTTGACGGGACAGGAAGAGATTGATTCTGCATGTCAGTCTCTGTACGATAGAATGAAAGACCTTGGTAAAAACGTTCCTGAGCTCATCATACTTCCTGTCTACAGTGTCCTTCCTAGTGAAATACAGTCTAGAATATTAGACCCTGCTCCTCCTGGTACCCGGAAAGTAGTTGTAGCTACAAACATTGCAGAAGCTTCTCTGACAATAGATGGAATCTATTTCGTTGTTGATCCCGGGTTTGCGAAGCAGAACGTGTATAATCCAAAGCAAGGACTAGAGTCGCTTGTCATTACTCCAATCTCACAAGCATCTGCAAATCAGAGAGCTGGTCGTGCTGGTCGTACCGGTCCCGGGAAATGTTACCGTCTCTACACAGAGAGCGCATACCGTAACGAGATGCCTCCTACGTCAGTCCCTGAGATCCAGAGGACTAACCTAGGAACGACAACACTTACCATGAAAGCAATGGGTATCGATGACCCGTTGTCTTTTGGATTCATGGATCCACCCCAACCGCAAGCCTTGATCTCCGCCATGGAGCAGTTGTACAGCCTGGGAGCTTTGGATGAGGAAGGAGTGTTGACAAAACTAGGTAGAAGAATGGCTGAGTTTCCCCTCGAACCGCATCTCTCTAAGATGTTGCTAGCGAGTGTGGATCTTGGGTGCAGCGATGAGGTTTTGACGGTGATTGCTATGATCCAGACGGGCAACGTGTTTTATAGACCAAGAGAGAAGCAAGCTCAAGCGGACCAGAAGAGGGCAAAGTTTTTCCAACCTGAAGGTGATCACTTGACATTGCTAGCTGTATATGAAGCCTGGAAGGCTAACAACTTCTCAGGCTCATGGTGTTTTGAAAACTTCATACAGTCACGATCGTTACGACGTGCTCAAGACGTGAGGAAACAGCTTCTCAGCATTATGGACAGGTATAAACTAGACGTGGTGAGCGCGGGGAGGAGGAACTTGACCAAGATAAGGAAAGCAGTCACAGCAGGATTCTTCTTCCATGGAGCAAGAAGAGATCCGCAGGAAGGTGGTTACAGGACGCTGGTGGAGAATCAACCGGTTTACATACACCCGGGCAGTGCATTGTTCCAAAGACAACCAGACTGGGTGATATACCATGATCTTGTGATGACGAGCAAGGAGTACATGAGAGAAGCGACCGTGATTGACCCAAAGTGGCTTGTGGAGCTAGCTCCAAGGTTTTTCAAAGTGGCTGATCCAACCCGTATGAGCAAGCGTAAGCGCCAGGAACGCATAGAGCCTCTGTATGATCGTTATCACGAGCCTAACTCATGGCGTCTCAGCAAAAGACGTGCTTGAGAGAGATTTCAAGTTTTATTCATACTCTTTTGTTTTTTGTTTTCACCTTTCTTATGTATTCAAAGCTAAAAACTAACGGTATGATGGATGATGAGTAAGAGAATGCAACTGTATCATAACAATTTTTTCACATTAAAACTCAGGTCAGGATGTGTACTCCCAAGAAACCAGCACTGTGGTTCTCTAAAACAGAGCTCGAGCCTTTCGCTTTGAAAGTGTTATACACTCGGATAATAATGATAGTTGTTCTTTTTTTACATACAATATAGATGCTGCCATATACATCTGGTTAAAAGTTATAATGTGAAGTTTTCAAATCTCTATGATCAGTTTTGAGATATGTCGAACCATCCCCTGGCCCTAACCATGCAGGTTTCCATATGTGGAAGTCGATAATGCAAGTTGTTCACTTTTATACAATTTAATTACATAGTTAAATTTATAATTAAAATTTCTATAAATTATTAGTTTAAATGTTTATAGAAAAATTCTTTCAAAAACCATATAGCATTTTAATATTATTTATTTGAGTACTAGGATTAGACCCGCGCATTGCGCGGAATGAGATGATTAAATTTGTTGTATTTTTGAAGATAAGAAGACATTATATATGTTTTATTTGCATATTAGTTTGTTTTGGATTGGTTGTTTCGGGTTTTAATATCGTCTAATTATATATCTATATTTAAAATATTGTTTAAAATATTTTTGAAGATAAGAAGACATTATATCTGTTTTATTTGCATATTAGTTCGTTTTGGATTGGTTGTTTCGGGTTTTAATATCGTCCAATTATATATCTATATTTTAAATATTGTTTTTTTGGTAAATTGCGATTTTGATTTTATGGTGATAACACAATGACTAAAATTAATTATTTAGTGTCATTTTATATCAAATCAAATTTATTTTAAAATATAAATAAATAATTCACTAAACAATATTTCACTAAATATTTTTAACCAAATAAAATACACTTATGTACTATTCTCTACTATTTAATTTCGTAATACCTCCATTATCTAATTTTTAAACTATTATTTTATAGAATTTTTCTTAATTTCGACATCCATTTATATAATACAATAGTAAAGACTTTTTAAAAACATAGTAATTTATTTCGAATGAATGTGAAACTATAATTCAATCAAAATATTTTATACATCTAGTGCCTCTGTTTTATATAAGTATTTTAAACAAAACTACTCAAATACTGCTAAAACTCCTCCTCACTATGGCAAGTCTCTAGATTAAGGAAGATGAGAAATTTAATATACATAAAATAAACTCAATTCTATTATAATAAAGATGCATAATCTCATTCTTCCAAAAACAAATAATGGTCTAAATATAAATATGTATTATATAAAAACAACTTCAATCAATAATTAGTTAGAATAACTTCAAAACTTCAGAAATTGATGATTGGAATTCTGCAAAGACATGAATTTCAATATATGAGGAAGAACAAAGTTTTTAGTGTATATACTAAACAGCTTTATAGAACCAACTAAGTATAATGTGCTTACTGCGATTTGAAGAACTGAATCTATGGGATGTCAGTATTAAACATAATTTCAGAAACACCTTCCATGTTTGTAACATAAGTGAGACCACCTATAAAGTAATATCAACAATAAGTATAGAAACCAGACATTTCTGAATAACAAAGAGTCAAAATAAATATAGATTACCTGCTCCCCATTCAATTCGCCATAACCTTAAAACACATACTACAACATCTGCAGTATTAGAATGCCAGAACTCATTTAAAATTCGGGCTAGAGCTCCATGAGCAACACACCTCACTTGAGTTTACCTGTTACATTTGTATTATATATCAGTCAATATAAATTGTACAAACATGGTCGTACTAAGAATAAACAATTGTAAATATATGAAAAATTCAAACCCGAGATCGATTAAGGAGAACTCCAACGAATATAGAATAGTACTGTAAACGTTGGCAGGTTGACATGTCTTATTAACTATAAGATCTCCTCATGGACCAATGCTCCACATAGATTTACATAAGAAAAAATTGTTTCAGATTTTAGTACCATTAATTAACAATCTAAGAAAGGGTAAATTATACTTAACATACCAATGCAGTACATAGGATGATAAACACCCCGATTGATACCACGGAAGTTTCCACATCATAGAAATTTAGAACCGTTCACTGGTTCTATCTTTCTAAACAAACTCGCTTCGTTGAACTTGATTGTGTACTTGTGCTTTGTGGTTCTATAATGCTGAAAACCCTTCTTATCTCAAAATTGAGTATCTCTACCCAGTCACATTCTTTGAGTTCAATCTCGTTAGGTAGAGACAAAGCATAGGTTAAGCTCCCTTCAATTGTTACTACCTGTTTAAAACAAATAGTGAGTTCATAATTTGGTATAAATGTGATTTATAAGACGTTCATTAAAATATAAGATAACTTACTTTCGAATCTCCTAAGAGCATGGTTGAATGATGATCTCTTCCAATTTTCGTACTCCATTTTCTAACGATCTTAACACGGATTGCAGGGAATTGAATCTTAGTATTCAACTCACTCAAAGAGATGAAGTTAACCATCACGCAAACAATGTAAGAGATTCTTCTATCATGTGTGTTTTTAGGTTTAGTTAGGATGCTTAGCGTAAAGTACACACATATATATATAGGTTTCTTCTGAACATTAAAAGAGATTTAGCAAGATATTTAGTCGATATATTGGTCGGATCGTAATAGGCAGTTTTTTGTATATAATTCCTAAATGCATATGATTAAAATCTCCTATATATTCTATTTTTTAATTCATAAATTTACTTTCTTAGTAGATGAATATCATCTTCCTTAAGTATAGTAATGGTTTGCTTTTCAGGAAATATTTACATCTTTTTGTCCCAAATAAGGATACCTCTAAAATGGTGTATCTAGGAATAGAACACAAATCGAGAAAGATAAGTGCATTAGTTTGCTTGGGAGACAATTCTGACTATTAATTACAGCTAACCAAAATAAAAATCAAGCAATTAATCTTTAATCAAACCGTCTAATATGATTTACAAATTGAGAACCAATAAACTAACTAATATAGATTTAATAAATGTGTACATTTAACATATTTTCTTCTCATGATGAGAATGTTCGAATGCTGATTAGGTAGTTATAAGGGGTCTCATGCGTTATCATACTGGGCGGAACCTCATAGCAAAGGTAAGTTTAAACACAAGTTTATTTCAATTTTCAAACATTAATATTAACACAAATTATGTGTGCTTCTTTTATATTTCGTAAATACTAAATAAGTTTTATAAGTTTATTAGAATGTTTGGTGTTTCTGGGGGATAAAAGTTTAAAAATAACCGAAACCTTGTGTCTTGATTAAAATATAATTATAAGCTAAAGATATAACTCTCAAAATTTAAGCAATCATAGTAGTAAAGTAAAACAAACTAAATATTAAATATAAAAGAACAAAGTAAAAAAAATGGACATAAAAATCCCATTATTCTTTCGTCACATTCTTCAAGTATCTTCCTTTAAAATCATTCTCGATAGAATGGAAGCTTGAAATATATACTGGATTAGTTAACATTAGCAATTATAATATAACACATATTTTTACTAAGAATCACATCTTCCATATTATGAAAAACTTACGTTGTTTTGAAATATTGTATTTCAGCGATATGAGAATCAAATAAAATATCCGAACATTCTTCAAAGTTAGTTAAATGGTTTAAGCAACCTATAAAAAAATCAACAATTCAGGTCAAATAAAAATGTCGTTCTTTTGATCCAATTATAGTCTAGATTAGTAAAACTTACCATCACCCCACTCAATTCGCCATAATCTCAAAACACAAACAACAACCCGTGCAGTTGATGACAGCCGGTTTTCATAAAACTCATCCGCTACAGTTCCATAGGCAACACAATTGATTTCAGCAAAACTGTATACAATAAGATATGGTAAACGTTATCAAATAGGAACTGCTGTAAAGATAAAACTGTAAAAGAACATCACTTACTCAATATTCATGATGGAAAATTTAATTCTGCTTTTATGTCCATCATTAATATTAGGGTTGTATTGCACTTTAATATCATGTTCGATTGGGCCAACATGAACCAAAGCTCCACATAGGTCTTCCTCAGAGTAGAAAAGGTATTTGAACATTATTAGACAACATCTTTAGCAAAATATTAGGAAACATGGAAGATACGAACCAAAAAAAATGATTTTGAACTNTTAATTCTGCTTTTATGTCCATCATTAATATTAGGGTTGTATTGCACTTTAATATCATGTTCGATTGGGCCAACATGAACCAAAGCTCCACATAGGTCTTCCTCAGAGTAGAAAAGGTATTTGAACATTATTAGACAACATCTTTAGCAAAATATTAGGAAACATGGAAGATACGAACCAAAAAAAATGATTTTGAACTCTAATTTTGACTTACCAAAACAGAATTTGGTATGCGATAGACCACGGAGGATAATTTTGTAATCAACACAGCAAAGGAATGTAGACTCAGTGATAGGGCTAATCTTTCTAACCACTGCGTTTCGAGTGAGGATGATATGGTATTTGCTGAAACATGATTCCATCCATACGAGCTTGTACACCCTCGCTGACTGTTAATTCATCGAGTAGTCCTTTCAGAGTTCTCTCTACTCCAATCACCGAGCTTCCTATACCGTTTAAGTCGAGGTTTTTCATCTCGAGTTCCTCGTCTTTGTCTCGCGAAGTCACTTAACGACTCTTTCCAATGGAGAGAGCTCTTAGGAAGAAGACGATGGTGCTCATTGAAGTTTTCATTATTTTGTTTGAGAGAGAGACACAGTAGGTTCATATTTATATGTTCGAAATTTGTTGAAACTGATAATTGCTAAGTTTTGAAATTGAGAGAGACACAATTTGTTGAAACTGATAATTGCTAAGTTTTGAAATTGAGAGAGACACATCAGGTTCACGTAATATGTAGTTGGTCTCTTTATAT